GAAGTCAATGAAAGCACTTAGCAAACTCCTCTAGAGCAGTCCCTATCTACTTTTATTCCCTACTATTTTATTTTACTTTTTTTTCTAATTTTATTTTCACTAACACCTCCCTGCCCTGAGTTTGACTGACATTTCTAATCCTTTTGAGAGATTGCAAATGCTCTGATTGTTATCAAACCATGTTCCCCTGCGTGACTCAAAAAAGAATTTGACTATTCCGTGTCCTATCAGCCTCCCTTGATGCATTTTGCCCTTCTAACCCTTTGAAGGGTCTCCTTTTAAAGCTGGCCCCTGGGGACATTGTAACAACCACCATCATGAAGGAGAGGTTCTCTACCTATTACTTATACATCCACCTGTAGGCTCATTCACCTCACTGTTGAATTAAATGTCCTTCCTAGCTGACCCCTCTGGGGGCTGTAAGCCCCTTGTTGAAAGGCTGGTTTTGCCCTGCTAGGGAAGTAGAAGCAAGAAGCTGTGGATGCAGATAAGTACGGGTTCAAAGAGCTACTGGGTGAACTAATGGAACCAAAAACATGATTGAGGTTTATGAAAAACAATGACCTTACATCTGGCTTGTGAAATCCCCGTGGGATGACTTACTAGACACACAGATAATATTTTGGGGAATCATAGAATCATACAGACCCTGTTTTTATGCTCTCTTTAGGCCCCTGCTACTGACTCTGGGAGACCTGGGCTGATCTTTAGTCTGACCTGATACAGAAGATTTTAAGCTCTCGCCATTGCCGTCCAGCCCAGCTCTCAGTGCCAGCTTGTGTTGTCCTCAGCACGGGGAGGATTTCACTGCTGAAGACATCTGTTTCATTCTGTGCATGGAAAAACATTGCACTTTCCTACTGCTTGTGAGTCTCTTGGTAACGCTTACCAAATGCTAGCAATTTGGCCTGCTACCATGCTGCTGTGATGGGTACTGTAACAACTGAACGTACTGTGGCTGTATATTAAGGTTAGGGTGTTGAGTAGACTATTTACAATCCCATTACTTGTAATGCTATGGTATTTTGTTGTACAGCCATATATTGACCATGCTTTTGCAGAAATTACAATGTCATGAAGGTAGTGATCAAAAGTTTGCTCAGAATAACGGATGCCTAAACAATACTAAGTTTTGGTTCTTGAATTACAGCTTCCTTGGAGGACTGGAATTGCCTCATCAAATTCCTTTCACAAAATCCTTCAGTGATGGTGAAGCACAGGGAGGAACTGTGTTAAAAACTATATGGTAGTTTCTCTACCCTATGTCCTGGAAGGGCCTGAAACTAAGAAATTTACAGGCAAAAGAAATAAGGTCATAAGTCACTTTGTGTTGTCCTGTTCACTGCAGAGTCAATATGGCCATCAGCCTAAGCCAGACCAACTCTAGGACATACCTTCAAGGGGAACAGGGGACCCTCCTAGCAGGGAAGCCCCAAACCAGAGCTGAGTTATTCATGTCACTGGGGATCTCCAGGAGTAAACAGGCTTGCAGAAAAGGTGAGTTCTCAGTGAGCCTCAGGCAAGTCCTGCAGCTACAGGAAGGGGGCAGAATGAAGACAATATGGAAAAACACAAGTGGGGCTGCGTACCCCTTCTGTACACATAAAAGGTAAGAAATGACCTTGTTCTGTGTTTAAGAGGAAATTCTCCCACATGCACCAGCATTAGATGTACACATTACGTGAGTCCAACAGATCCCTGTAATACAGAGCTCCCTGGGACATCTGTCCTCTGTTGTGGCCACAAGAGCTTACCAAAACTCCCTTCTAAAGTTTCACTGCAGTCTGATACAAGGGCAGGAGAATAAGACCTCCCCTGGGTTTGCCACCCCCTTTTCCACCTGACCACACCAGATATGCGCTGCTGCAGAACACAATACGGTTTGACATTTCTTTAATCGTAACAAAAGGGATGAGTGCAGCTTTTCACTAATGTATTGTCATCAGCAAATGAGGTCCTAGGGACTAGGAAGACGGGGAGATAACAATTTTAGATAACGTGCTGCATCTCAACAGGCGGTTTGTCTATCTGCATACCCCAGCCAGCAGAGCAAGAAGCTGGGAGGCAAGGTGCAGGCAGGGTGCAGGCAGGGTGCAGGCAGCAGTGTGGTGCTCTGCTGCACCTGGGGTTCGTGGGAGAAAGACTTAAGTGGACTGCTCCAAGGAAAAAGGCAGTATTTGCATAAAAAAATGTCTTGCAAGTGAAAAGGGAGAGTTTAAACAAAAGGGCTAAGTAAGCTACCAACGCAGCAAAGCATGACATTTTGGGTCAAACAGCATGCTTATCTTGATGCAAAATAGGTTTTTGTGTATTTTTGCTAATAACCCTCGAAAATACATTTAATTTCCTCTGAAATGTATTTGTTTTTCTGCATGCTTTGTTTGGCTGCTGAACCAAAGAATTCACCATTCCTTTAGGAGCTGAAGATGACAGATAGGGAGTTTGGGGCAAAAACTAATGGTGGGAGCTGGAAAACAGCCCTGGTCGGATCAAAATTCATCAGTTGTGAAATCTGAGCTCCCTGTAGGAAGATTTCTTCTCTCCTCCACCAATACCTGTAGAGTGGTTCTTCTCCCTAAATGCTGCTGAGCTGTGGCCCTGTCCCAGGTGATACTTGCAGCTACCAGAGACAGCCCATCATTTATGATGGTGGCAGTGGTGCAAGAGAGAAGAAGCAGGGGAGAAAAACTAATTTATTTGTGTAAGTTTTGCCATAAGAGATGAAAACGTGAAGCAACAGTGAGGCTTAGAAGTGAGGTCAGTGTGAACTAGGTCTGATCCTGGCAGGAGCTAGAGTATCAGCAGAAATGACTCAGTACATGATGTAATTTGGGCTTGGAAATAAAGGAATAAAGCAAGAGCATTTTTTGGTTTTAGCTTATAATATACAAGAGCAGCTGTTACAGGTCAGACCAAAGGTATAGGTAACCCATGATTCTTTCTTCAAAGTGGTTAATGAGTACGTGAAGAGATGGGTAGAATAACAGTGAGCACTTTGTTTTGTTATTTTCCCAAACATTTTAAGCTTGGAGTCGCCTATCAATGTTTTTGTACTTAATAGCCCTTCATGGATTCATTCCCCATTCATCTGCCCACTTGCTTTTGAAACCCACAATATTTTGTGACAAAATTCCAGGGAGCAAAAATAGTTAATTCTGGGTCTTATTACAAATGGATGTTTTCTGTCTATGAATCAGCACCTCCTACAGCCCTCAGCCACTCTCCAAACCTCCCGAAGGTTAAAGCTGTCAATGTCTGCCTGGCCCAAAACAAAACCTCTTCATTTCAGTGTGAATTGTGTGATTATTTTTCCTCTTCAAACATCTAAGTCCATTTTGAAGTGAAAACAGTGTTTTGAAACAGTCAAAATGTTCCAGTTTGAAAACAACAGGATGAAAAAGCTTTCTTTTTTTTTTTTCTTTCTTTTTTTTTTTTTCTTTTCTTATAAATTTCTCTTTTTCTAGCCAAAATCATTTGCAAAAGTTGACCCAGAAGGTTTCATCCTCCCCGAATCTGTGCAATTGCATGAGTTTGCTCTGAGCAGAGAGCCTCTCCCTGCTAAGGGGCATGCATTCAGAGAACCACCTCCAAATATCCCACTCATTGCAGCTCTCCTGCCAAGCGGTTGCTTTTATGTATTTACTTTGCTCATGAAACCTCATCGAGCCTTGTTCTTCTCTCTATCCATCATTCACACCAGACAGCCCATTGCTAGGCATTTGCTCAGCTGTGACCATTTCTCTCACAAAAAATGGAGGGCTTATTTATTATTTTGCTAACTGCCGTGATTGCTGTTTTCTCTCAGCCTCTCGAGACTGAACCCTTCCTCTCAAATTTGGTTTGCTTCACTGACCTTCTGCTGCTACTGGCTCTCCATCATCCCTGCTGCCCAGGACCCTCTCAGCATGGCGTGCACTCTCCCTAGCACTTCTGAGTCATGGCTGGATTTTTGGCAAGCACATCAAGCCAACAGCTCCCTGGGGCTGAGTGCCAGCTGTAGGCACTGTCGGCACCGGGCTGGAGACCACTTCAGGACCCACTTATGGGCTGTGCAATGTTCCAGCACACAAAGAAGAGGATAGCACCCTTATTGTTGCTTCTGTATTTTGTTTTGTTTTGTTTTGTTTGTTTGTTTGCACAAACAATTTGCTTTTAGATAGCTCTCAAGAGGCATTCATTCCTCCCCCCTCATAACCTTTTTTTAAACAGGAATTTTAAAGCCTCGAGCAGTTCCATCATGTTTTGGTGTGTGGGCAAATGCAGCAGCTCGCAGCACTGCCAGGCCGTTTATCTTTTTGGCAGACTGGCCCCTGGAGAGAAGAGACAGTAGTGGGACTTGGCTATTTGATAAATAAAATGTTAGAGGCAGTGGTGGGAAGGGATGTCTGGATGATCTTCCTGTCCAGCTTATGGGACTCTTGCCAACTTGAGAAGGTCTTAGAAACCTCCAAGGACTCCTAAGCCCCTTCCTTCCTTGGATTTAAGCCTGGCTGTTCCATATCATTACAGAGGACAGAGAGGCTCCAGCAGATACAGCCCGTACAATGGCCATGCAAACTGGGATTTCTTTTTGGCTTACAGTTCAGTGGAAGCTGCGTGGATGGCAAAGCCAAATCTTTAGTACAAAGGAGACTTTGCCTCCAAATTACAGGTTCCTTATCCAAATAGCAAGAGTTTTCAATGAATCATGGTAGGTATTTCTATAAAGCAGCAAGCCAATTTGTTTTCCTCCAAATCCTTTCTCAGAGGTAGCCAATGTTACTTTGTACTTTTACTCCAATTTGTTTCCTGGTGCAAACAAATATCAAGCAAAATGTGAGCCCAAATGTTTCAGATTTTCTGGTGCTCTAACAAGTTATGCAAAGCGGGATCTCTTAATGAGAAGCATTCAGCAGCCAAAGGGAAAGGCAGTGTTACCAGCTTCCACTGCCTTGCATGCTCACACAGAAGCTGAATGTGAGAAATGGGGCTGCTAATGACTGGAAGTGAGCAACAGATTCCTGTTGTTTTAGGAAATATTTCCATAATGGCCACAGTGCTGTCCCTGTGGGCAAAATCTAGAGGGAAAACGTGGCTGCTGGTGAAGAAAAAAGTTGCTAATAATTCTTGCTGCTTGCAGGTGGTCTCTCTGTCTCTGTCTCTTCCGTTTGCCTCTCTTTAAAGCTCCATCTTTCTCCTTGTCTTGCATTTTCTGCCGGTGCCTTTAAATGTCTGTGTATTTGTGAAACTGTTTCTCCGGCCAACTCCCCTTGCCTGCTTTAATTAGCTCCCTAGTATTTCTGAAGGTATCTCCCAGGGCTCTCTAATCCCCTCAATGTGCTGACTAACCGAACCCCAGGAGATCCTCACAAGAGAAAAACTGCAGGATAAAAGCAAGTGATTTCAGGCCTCTAGTTTCTTAATTAGAAGCCTGTACACCAAAAGTCCACAGGAGTGGCTGTCTGACAGGGAGACTTTGCACTTGTACTCAGAAATGAGCTCTCTGTGCCTTTTTGCATCCCTTGGAAACTTTCCTTGTCCTTTTCTTGGTGTTAATTACTCACTGAGCGACCTGTTCAGCATCAGCAGGATGTGAGGAGGAGGTGATGGGTACCCTGGTGCCACCCATGCTTCCTGATCCCACCAAGGCCTTAGGGATGCTCTCCCACTCCTTTGAAACACAAACAAATAAACTAGAGCTGTTAGAGCTCTTTAAACTCTCACCATGACACTGTCCTCCCCATCCATAAATAAATACATAATGTGATGGATGAACAATTGGCTGACGGGTCGGGTCAAAGGGTTATAGTGAATGGGGTTACTTCAGACTGGTGGCAGTCACTTGTGGGGTTCCCCAGGGCTCCATTTCAAGACCAGTTTTCTTTCATGTTTTCATAAGTGACCTGAATGCAGGACTCAAACATATACTAAGTTTGCGGATGACACTAAATTGGGAGGAGCTGTTGACTCTCTCAAGGGTGGAGAAGCCTTCCAGAGAGCTCTAGGCAAATAAGAGGGCTTGGATGTCACCAACCACATGAATTTTAACAAGAGCAAGTGCTGGACTCATCACCTGGGAGAGGGCAAACCTGGCTGTACAGACAGACTGGGGAATGAGAGGCTGGAGAGCAGCCCCACAGAAAGGGAGCTGGGGTTGTGGTTGATGACAAGTTGAATATGGGTTGGCAGTGTGCCCTGGCAGCCAAAAGGGCCAGCCATACCCTGGGGTGCCTCAGGCATGGCACTGCTGGCTGGCTGAGGGAAGGCATTGTCCCACTCTGTGCTGGTGTGGCCTCAACTTGAGAGCTGTGTGGAGGTTTGGGCACCCTTACATAAGGGCATAAAGGTGGTAGAGAGAGTCCAAAGGAGGGCAATAAAGATGGTGGGGGGTCTGGAGAGCAAAATGTGTGAGGAGCAGCTCAGGCCCCTTGGTTTGTTCAGCCCTGAGCAGGGCAGGCTGAGGGGAGGCCTCATGGCGGCCTGCAGCTCCCTCATGAGGGGAGCGGAGGGGCAGGCAGCTGAGCTCTGCTCCTTGGGGACAGTGACAGGACCCGAGGGAACGGCATGGAGCTGGGATGGTCAGGCTGGGTGTTGGAGAAAGGTTTTTCACCGAGAGGGTGAAGAACTGCTGGAGACAGGAGCAGGGCCTGCAGGCTTTAATGCTAGCTGCTGCATCCAGCTATGAAATGTCCCTCACAGCTAGTAGCCAAGGTGCAATTCAGTTGTAGTGTCAGAAGCCATCCAACAGCATTTCATCTAGACATCCATACTGAGGCAACCATTTTCCCAATAGTTTAGCCATTCCCTCCCAGCAGCCTTCTCTTATGCAAATCATCTCTAAAAGCCTCCTTAGCCCCACTTTGCCTTATCTGCCACGTGCCTTCGGTGTGCTGTAAATGACACAGCCCGCCTGCTCATGAAAGCTGACATTTTCAAACCTGATTTTTAAATTGTAAAATACATGGCACGTGTCTTGCCAAAATCAGATGAAATCAAGTTAGTATCTAAAATGTTAAAATTACCATTTACATTTATATCAGGAATTAAAGCAGGAGGATGCAGACTACATACTTTGCAAGGATGCTAGTAAAAAAAACACTACTATTCTCACCGAAAAACACATCAGTCCTGTAAAGATATTATTTAAATGCTGTTCGCTTGGCATCTTAGCGAATTTGCAATATTAAAAGTGACATTAACATCACAGGAGTGAAAGGTTTCAAATCACTACCAACAGAACAGCAGTGAATACATATCCATGCAAGTACTTTATCTTCCTTTATTCTGTTAAGCAAGTAAGGCTATCCATAAAACAAAAAGACAATGCTAGTAACTCAGCATAAAGCTGATGTTTCAACTGGAAATTCAGCATCTTCATGCTGGGGGGGATGATAATTCTTCTTACAGTTTCATGTTAGGGCTTTGTTCTCATGTTAAGCTTTGCTTTAGTTTGGCACCCTCAGAAAATACATACATAAGGTTAGGTAACATAGATGCCTATGTCCTATTTCCAGAAGAGACGTAAACCTTTAGGGACATACATGCAAAGGTATCAAGGCACTTAACTCCTACACAGCATGGGGGATATCATATATAACTATACAGCATAATAACTATAAATCTCTTCAGTAACTGTAAAGAGTCTCTTCAGAAATAGCTACGAAAATACATTTAAATTTCAGATGTTTGAAGAAATGTAAAACGAAGCCCCATACCAAGTGCCTGAATTCCCATTAAAATCATTTTGTGTTTAGGTGTCTTTGTAAGGTCAGATGCCTGCATACCCCTGCATCTGCAAGCCACATCTGGAAAGGAAATTGGATATCTAGGATGCAAATTAGTACTTCCAGACTTTGAAATGCTGACTAGTGCCTATCTGCTTCTTTTGGCATCAAAATACCTTGAAATATCTGCAGTATATTTGGTTACTTCTAGACAGGGAATTTTAACAGGCAATTTAAGTCAATCTGTCATACTTTGCACCAAAATGGATGTCAGAGACAATGTCCCAGCTAAGGCAGCCACAATTTGGAGTTGCGAGCAGGTAGCTTCTTAAATGGCTCAAAATATATTGCAAGCACTCATATGACAATGCCCTACTCTTACATCAAGCTTAGATGAAGCCCACCAGATGGTTTGGAAAATTTCACGGTGTGCCCAGAACTGGGCACAGAATAACCAGTGTGGTTGCAAACAGCTTTATTTTACTTTAAAGAGGTGTTACACTGAAGTAGGCATCCGGAATGCCACTTTCATTAATATGGGTTAAAAACTGAGTAGTGCTTATTGGCCTGAGTGCAGGCTAATAATGTGGTCCTGACAATCGGTATGTTCTATTTCAGAGCTGACTCTCATCTGCTATAAGCATGGGCAGAACTTTTCTGTATTTTTTTTTTTTTTCAGAAGTCACATAGACTTACTGTAAAGCTGAAGAAAAAGAAGCAGTTTAAAGTGATGGAAAGAAGCAAGTGCCCTCTCTGCCCTCTGTAGAGTTACCTCCAGTCAGAGCTAAGACAGCTTCTGCAGATGGCTGAAGATAGTCCTACGAGTTCATGAAGCAAGAGAATGAACTGAGCATCATCTGAGCCCTGCTGGTATAACAGACTGGATGAAATGAAACCTCTGTGATCCATCAAATACTCTGGAAAGCTCATAAAACTGGATTTTCCAAATGATTTGTACTTTTATCCAGATCGAACATGCCATAAGAAGAACTTCTCTCAGCAGTTCCAAGCCAAAAAGAAAAACAAAAATATGCAGAAGAATGTGAATTACTAAGGCAGAAAGCCAGACAAGCTATTTCATACTACTAAAAGTTTCTGGGATGAGACTTAGTTTGAATTTGGGGCCAAAAGGTTCAGGTTACTGTGTACTTTGTCCCTTTTCAATACAAGGAGCTCTAGAAGTATTATAATGACTCGAAAGAACTAAAAAGCTGTTGACCCTCTTTGATAGCCTAACATATCGGCTTTCCATTTGAGAATTGCTCTTTGATTGAGGTTTTCACTTTTTTATTATTATTATTTTTTTACAGATGTCAGATCAGCTACTCTGCTTTGTGACTATAGAAAATAAAAGATGATGGCAGATCCTGCACTTCCCAGCTAAGTGCTTTTGATCAGTGGTCAACACGGTGATGAATGTTTTTCCATCGCATCCTTCATCCCATGCATTTTCAGGGCTGGTTAGAGGTTGGAAGGCAAGACGAAAGAATGCTGCTATCCGACAGAATTCAATTTCCTGAAAAAAATAAATCATATTTTTTTCCTTGTGACCTAAATGGAAAACATATTGTTCTGAAAGTGCTGTTCAAACAGAATTACCAAAACCTTTTATCAACAAAGAGACTGTCATATATCAGACATCTGGTGTGGATGTCAATTATAATAATTAATTAGACATCTCCCCAGATGCCTGACACTACATTCTGTCAGCAGATTTTTTGACTTCAATCAAAACTGCTGCTGCATTATGCATGAAACTCATGGAGTTGTTGGGAGTCGAGGAGATCAGCTACAAATCACAGCTAAACACACCAAAGGCCTCCTGGTTCTGATGGCTTTTACCACTTTTGAAGGCTGCCAAGTGAAGGTCACATACATTGATTTCTTTTCCTCCCTTAACAACATTTTCGAATGTTTTACATTTTTTCATGCAGACGTTCAAACAAAAAGATTGAGTGGGAAGGAATATCATATATATATAAATATATATATATATATATAAAAGGTAATGATTACTGCTGTATCCTTGTGGTGAGAAAGAAAAAATGCATCTTAGGTTGCAATCTGAAGTGCAACCACGGTGGAGCATTTTTATTTCTCCCATGTCTGTACCAGCAACACTCTCCAGAACTGATCCTCAAAGACCACAGAAGAAGACAGAAAAAGGTGACCTCACTTCATTACTTTTTTTTTATTCTTCATTTTTTTTTTTCATAATTAAATTGAAAATAAAGTAATTCCTGGGCCATTTAATTAATTCAAAGCACACAATATTTTTTTTTTTAGTTTTTCAAAAATATTTTTGCATTTTCCAGGAAAAAAACAACTCAATTAATTCTACTTGATTTAGGAAATCACTCCAGTCAACCCCAATATACATATATATACAGCTATACATATACTTAGGGAGGGAAATCTGAATAAACATATCACCAATTTTACCAGTATTAGCAAGGGTAGAAAATACTTTATGTTTCAGACTAAGAGCTAATAACTGTCAAGTATATGGGCCCTTGTATTGCAATTTGGTCTTATCTCCTTGATGGGAATTTGCTTGTATTCAATGTGTGCACACTGATAGAAGCCTTAGTTTGGAAATATTTTGAAATGGACAGAATGAGATTCTGGTTTAAATCCCTGGGTTTTTCCTGTTTTCACTGGGGCAAAGATTTCTGCCTGTCTTTTATTTGTTCTATAAAGTATTTAGCACATGTTTGAACAGCATGAAATGATAAATGAATATGTAACTACCATACACTTGCCTCTCTGGAGCTGGCAAGTTTCTTTTATTTGAAGGATTTGCCAATGAAAAATAGAATTACAAACAGTATGTGCATTTTTAGAAGAAAAAATATTTGTAGTAATCCATGTGTTTCAATATTTCATAAAAGTGTCTGGGTTAGTCTCAGTTTCAATACAAACAGAAAGAAAATAGATTTAGATTGACATGGATTTGCTTTGCAATAAAGAATTGAAAGAGGAGCAAAGTCCCAACAAGCAGAGTATGAACAAATTGCAGGAGCCTGAGAGGCTGTCCAGACCTCCAGGTATGCTCCCCTACCCAATATTTGAAGTAGGTTTTGGAAGACTTCTTTTGGTTAACCTTCCCCCCCCCCCCCCCCCCAAATTCTTGTTTTGCCTTTTGTGGAACAAACCCGACACCTCTGAAGGATTTTTATATTTAAGGCTCATCCCTGCAGGGGGTGCTCAGAAATTTAATCCACTGGTTAATAATTGCAATTAATTAAGGCTGGGGATTTAAAGTGGGTTAATGCAACTTCATTAAACCACTGTGTAAACACTTTTAGTTAGGAGCAGAGTCACCCAAAGTTTGCTTAATTGTCCTTGGACTTGCTGGTATGCAAAGAAGAGGAAGAGGAGAATTTACAACTTCCTTTCCATGTGGCTATTTCTGGTGTGTTTTAGAATAACTTTCTGCTGCTTACTCTACTTTGAACACACAAAACTTGGCAGTACTCTGGAGAGTCCCTACAGAGCAGGGTAGTGCCCTAGAAATTCATGCCATTTGCTGCAATTTCACAGTAAAAAGAAAAACTCTGGAACCAAAGTAGGCTACACTGATTTGCACCACTTCAGTTCTGAATAAAAGGGTTGAGCCAGAAGAGTTTAAAACAATTTAACTAGTGTATTTGGCAGGCAAAGTAGTCATTTTCCTCCAGGTCTTTTTTACCTAAAGACCTGTAGTTTCAGATGCTGCTAGCTGTGTGGCACAAGGTGCTCACCTTGATGGGCGGTGGTACTGGTCTAATATTTCAATTTTCTTCTGAAAAACAGGGCCCATAGCGTAATGTAGAGCAGGATTTCTTGTTCAAGGATCAAAAGGATCATCTCTATTTGGGTAAATGATGCAGATCTCAAAGAAATACATCATGAAAGAAGAGAAGAGAACTCTGAAGAAACTCTGAAGAGTTTCTAGGATGCACATTTCTGCGGTTAAGAAAATAACAAGTAAATAAGCAAAGCTTTGTGAAGTCCTATGACTTTCGCCTGCATTTCTTTAGCAAAACAGGGTCAGTGTGATTCACAGCATTGCATGAATGGAGAGATTCCTCAAGCAACAGTGCTGCTGTGACTCCTGAGCAGTTCCCAAGCCTTTAGGTGCACTTAAAAAAACAAATCAAACGAACCAACCAACCAAACAACAACAAAAAGAACAACAACAACAGCAAGAAAAACAAACATTAATAATGAGTTTTTCACTAGCTTCTTTCAGACCTGGCTCCCAAAGCATTTTCTAGCTTTGGCTGGATCTTGTCTGTTTCCGTGATGTGGCCAAGTGGAGGGCTTTGCAGTGTGTTGGTAGGGCAGGGGAAGAGGCTGCTTCCACATTGACACCTGATCCCTTCGTGCACCTCACCTGATGAGCCCATACAAGCAATTTTTGAGATTAAATATGCTGCATTTATCTCCAGAGTTCTTAATTGCTGAGCATTTTTAATCTCACTTCATATTCAGATAGAGAGCAAGAGCGCTACAGAAATGTCAAATATGTAAATAAAATAAAGCAGAAAAAGTGCAAGAAAGAATGATTACTTTGGATCTACTGGAGTAGTGAATTAACACCAAACCTAGAAACATTCAATAACAGCAATCACCGTACACCACCACTGCCATTGAGAATAGAAACAGATACATTTTTTTCTTTGCTTAAAGAAGACAATTTCCCCCTAACTTGTAGCCAAAATTTCACCAGTCAATTAACGACCTTTGCCTCCGACATCCCCCTTCCTGCAAGGTTTGCATGGCTATTATTTTCAGTACTTAATCTTTTAGAGTGATTTGTGTCTTCTAATAACTGACTGCTTGTTTTGCTATCAGTCAGTTCCAGGACTGCTACAGCGTCTCTCCAGCTTAAAGCTTGCTTCGTTCACCTTGTGACTTCAAATACCATTCTGTCTCAAGCGGGAAAAAAAAAAGCCGCCCAAATCCCATATTGCTCCTTACAGTCTTATTACTCAGGAAACTAAAGAGAGAAAATAAAGGTCAGAAGAACTTTAAAACAACAGTAAAGTCAAGAGGACAGGAGAGTTTTAAAGGAAGTTACAAGCTTGAAATTACAGACATTTTTTTTTAGGATGTTCCAAGACATTTCCAAAAAAGCAGAAACCCCTATGATTCCCTACTCGACCCTTACTTCTCATGGGAAATTACTCAGAATTATCTCTCTTAGCCTGTCAAGAGAAAGCAGCTTATGAAATGTCAGACATTCATATGGTGAGAAGGAGACTGTAACTGAGAACCCCGCAAGTGCCTTGACTGGACATGGAAGGAGCTTTATAAGCCCTCGCTGTCCTGGGACCACCTTCCTAATCTCCCCATTTCTACCCAGCAGCAAACTCTGCTGAGCATCTTTAGAGGAACCCAAACCCCTAAGTCTGTACACCTAAGCTCTGCAAAAACAAATGAACCACGTCCTCCCAGTGCTGATGTACAGCCCTGCAGTGCCTTGCTGCTCCCAGTGCTCTGCACCCAGGTCCCCTGGGACATCCTCTCACCAGGTGTGGGATTTGTTTTGCTCCCACAGTCGATAGCAGAAGGAGTCTCTGTCTGAGGTGCTTGCTCCTGGCCACTGTCCCCATGCAGAGGGGGAGGGACATCACCAACCCTGGTTTAACAGGCTGTCTTCAGAGGAGAGCAAGAATAACCGGGATGAGTCCAAAGGAATGAGACATGCTTTTGGAACCTCTTTTGTTTTGTTTTGTTGTATTTATTTATTTATTTTCACAAGGGAGCTCTACTGAGATGCAAGGGATGTGTTATGCCTCTGCAAGGAATATAAAGCCCGTCCATTGTGTTTGCCACACAAAGAGCACTGGGACAGCTTGGGGCCTGGCTGCCCACTGAGCTCCTGGAACAACTAATTGTTGTGCTGGCGAGGGACGCCTCCTCTGGAGGCTTCTCTGTGGAGAAGCTCTCTGTGTTGGGAGAGCTGAAAGAGCTGAAGGGAATGGCAGGGAGTGTTTTCAAAAGCACCCCAGGGTCTTTGAGATAAGCTCCACTGCAGAAATGCAATGCTCTGTCCTTAGCCTACCTAATGATTGATGTAGGACAGCCTTGAATGGCTCCTGTGTGCATCCAGCGTTTATTGCTCTGCAAACAGACCTGGACATCTCGATTTTGCAAAGCTACATTGTCAGGGTGCTTCTGGGCAAGATGCAGGCAGGCACCTTGAGGGAACTTCAAAGGTATCTAAGCAATCCAGGTGTCCAACACAGAGAGAAAGCAGAGCCCTGCACTCGGCCTTGTTTGAAAATCCCAGGCCTTGGGGCTGTGTAATTTTTGTAAGACCATTCATCAACAGGCAGAACAGGTAAGGGGAAGACTTTAAACAATTTTCTTGGAGCTCCTCCCATTGCTGCCTTAGTGCAGGTGGCCCATCCATCATGTCTCTACAGGTTCCTTCTCCTTCCCATCTGCCTTTCCACAGGGGGTCCTAGCACCAATGGTGATGAGATCTTTTGATCTCACTGCTCTCCAAATCCAATACAGCTACCT